ACCTTAAACTCACAAACTACCGAACAAATAAAGAAAGTAGATGTTTCTCAAGACTCCGACATGAAAGATGTATGGAAGTCATCGGAACATGCAGAACAGGACCAAATTGTTTAGTGGTCCAATTACAGCAGGAAATCATTTGAATTTTAAGCTTCGTTTAAGAATTCCTGTTAGAAGATTCCTTCCATTAGAACTATTCGATTTAATTCCAGCTTTTGCAGGAAACATTCAGCTTAAAGTAAAGTTTCAGTAGCGACGCCTGTAACAATGCCACATCTATATCTGTAAATGATATCAATTGCTTTTCAATCCAACTCTTAAAGTTGCATTTGCTTCAGATTCAAATCCACGACAAATAAATTTGGTTCCATGAATGAACATTCACTATGAATAACGAAGGCAGTAGAAGCTAGTGGGAAACAGTTACTATTACAACTGTAACCCAGCAACTATTTCGAACAAGATGGATTTTAATGAATGGTTTCATTCAATACCAAAGTCATTCTCTTAGACCCTAACATTTATACATAACTTGTAGAACATTATACAACGGAGGCTTTATGTTTTCCTGTTAAAGTTATGGATTGGGATTCCTATGACGGTTTCCATTCTCAAGAATACAGATAGTTTCAAGGCAAACAATTTACAGCACTTTAATACCGCCCTATTGTTAAAGTAATTTGGGCACTATTTAGAAAGAAAAGACACATTATGTTAATTTTGAGAACCCTAAGTTTAAATATCCTTCAGCTTTCCATGGGAGCTTATAGAAAATGCCTGCAGAACCTGAAAAATCATATGGACCTGTATTTTAGAAATGGTTGCGAACGCTGTTAATACACAAACAAGATATGATAGGATTTTAATGAAGATGTTATGAGGTCATTGGTGATGATGGTAGTGTGGAACATAAAAAAAATGGGATAGTATGGACAACACACATTTCCTTTATTGGTTTTTCCAACAGAAGTGGAACTTTTGCTTCCAGCAAGGTCAAACATCTACTGCTCCAATAACATACAAATTGTCTGTTAAAGACTATTGAACTAGCAACTGAAAATGTACCAAGCCACTTATTGGATTTATGAGGGATTGTTGCTTTGCCATTCAGGTGCGTGCTTAATGGGCATCCCCAATAATAAAGATTAGATGACTATAACTTAGCTACGGACGAACAGTGAGAATAAAGGATTGAACGTTTTATTTTTTTAAAGCTTATAAATGAGTTCTTCATCAAGCTCTCGTGAAACCTTCACCATCATGAAACAAACTTTTATACCAAACGATTATGGAGCAACCTAATTGAATATTTCTACGAGTGCACAATGGCAAAGAGCAGTCCTCACCAAGGTTAGGTGGTTCCAACCAGCTCCTGTCAAAAATAGCATTTTGTCAAGTCCTTATATAAGATATGGTCTCCCACTAGGTTTGCTAGCTACAGCAAGTAGCCAGTTATGATGTTGAAAAGAAATAAAGCAAATGTTTGTAAATAATACTGACAGTAGCTGAAGTTAAACAAACTCCAAACCCTTCGCCCAAAACCAACGCCTTCACAAGCAAAACATTCAATGACTTCTGAACCTATGGAAGTACAAACTCCTGTTCAAAAAGTCAACTCCTAAACGTTTTGACCTCCAACATTTAAAACAGAACCTACTCCTCAAATAAATCGTAAAACTCCCTGCGTTTCCTTACTGAAAAAAATAACGTTATTTTTATTTAATATTAAAATTTTTATTTGAATTGAAAATGACGACTAAAGTCACGGTGAAAGCAATGAAACAAAAGTTTTTGGTAGAATACATTAATCAGGAAATATTCCATGAAGGTTTTACATTCATACTATGAAGGATGGTAGAGTTCAAGTTTAGAAAGATAAAGCAACCATTAGATAAAAGAGAATTTGAGAAAGATTAAACTTCAATGGAGGAACAATTGCTAAAACTTAAGAAGAAGTAGAAGATTTGGAGAAGGAAGAGAGTTATAAAGCAATGAATTCAACAGAGTGAAAAAACAGGTGAAAAAATGAAGGTGAGTCTCACCACTTCACTAAATTTATTTTTTGTGCTATGTTTTATACGTGTGAGGGTGGTGATATCATTAATTTTTAAGTTATTTTTTAAAATTATTTTTTAATTTTATTTTTATATAAATGAGAAAACTATTGAGATAACAAACTACAACGATCATGAGTTCAAGAATTTTTGTTCTTCGTTCCTCGTGAAAATACATTCTATCAGATACGAGGGAGAAAGGGTAAGTTAGTTTGAAGCGTTTTATGAAGGAATGAGAATGGAAAGTTTATACAACATACGATACAAACGGTAAGCGTTTTCATTAAGCTTTGTCAAAACCTTACAGGTATAAACTATAACAGTGAATTTTGACCTATATGAAGAGAAAGTGGAGTTCAGAAGATTATGAAGCCTGTTATATGAAGAACAGCAATGGGAGGAGTTGGCAATACTTTTGTAAGTGAAAGTTTTATTTTTTTTACATTAGTGAGGTGAAGTGGTTGGCGGCTTTGTAAATATTAAGGTTAAGTTAGTGTTTGTCGTTTTTGTTGTAAAATATACGTTAACGGTTTTGTAGAAGTTCAAATTCACATATAATGGGTAAGAGGCGCGGAGTGCCTCCCGTACACATTGATATGTATACTAACTATCTTTGGCCTTTCGACTGGTTGGGAGTGTCATTTTTCGGGAATCAAAGATGAACTTGATGAATCGAATCATTCTGCAACTCTCTCTGAATGTCGAAAGTCAAGAATTGTGGCCATGATGTGTTCCTTGTAGTTGACAAATAATATTTGAATGGCAATGAATCGATGATCTGGTTCTCCTCAATTCTGGTGTGAATCGAGTATCAATTTGTTTGTTTCGTTGGCACATCACGGTAAGTTGATTCGAAGAAGTTGACCGATTCCTGGTATTTGCTCTGCGAGATCTGTGATCAATCTTGTTCATCGTGTCATCACAAATCTTGTGCTCCAATATGTTTGAGTTACCGAGTAATGTGGCAAGTTCATTGGGAACGAAGACTAATCTTTGGACTTTCATGAATTCCAACAAATTTTGTAAAGATGACTTTGACATCGTCTGTTACGAATGGGAGAGGACTGATTGGCACTTCAAAACTTCTGTCTCACTTCGATATGAGAACAGAACCCTGTAAACATACGGTTCAGAATGACACGTAATTCCCATATTTGAAAGACCAAACATAACACCTTTTAATTGGGTAAAAGGTAGTTTCGCCTCTTGGTTTGATGGACTGTATGGATAAATCGACAGCTTGGATGAGCGACAGCAATGATGTCCGCTTTGAATGGTTTCATGGAGGGTGCAACAACAGCAAGCGACGGTTATACGCTTGAAGGAAGAACCTTTGTTGGTGTATAAATCTCGAAAAGGAGTAACTCTCATTATCATTCAGGGGTGATCCATAATGTTATAATTTGTCAAACCGACTTAAACTGATATGATCAGAGGAAGTGTGTGCGCTCACCCTCGAAAACCATTTTCATGCGACCAGCCATGACCTTGGAAACGTGCATAAAGAAACGCTCGACAATCTGCCTTCTTGGGCAACTCTCGCTCTCGCGCTTCAACGTCTGATTCTTTCGTGGCTTCTCTTTCATCACGCACGGCAGTAGGTGATATTTCTGGATCAATAAATACCCGTCGGCAAGTACAGGATATTGGTAATCATCAAATTCTCGCTTTAACTGTCAAAAAATCCGAGACTTTTTGACAATCGAAAATCTTCTTGTCATGGACTGCAGCCATAAACTCAACGTTTTGATGTATGCTTTTCACTGGTGACAGAAGGATTGGAGCTTAATACCATTTGCAGTGGTTTTTTCATCCCAAACTAATAAAGCCTCTCTTCCTTTACCGAAGGAATTGTTTGAAAGGAATTGTAGTGCTGTCATACAGCCCCCCTTTTCGCTGCAGAACAGCCAATCAAAGGGGGAAAAAAAAAAAAGTTTTAAATTTGTTCTTCATTGTCTCGTAAACGAAAAGGGGATTTGACGGAGTCAAATCCCGCTCACAAAAAGTGACTTTCATGTCAAATTTTAAATGCATGTAAGGTCCACTTTTATGAGTTTTAGGAAGGAATTGGAGGCCATGAGTTACTGACTTTCATCAGTAATCTCATAGCTCCATTCCTTCTTAAAATGGGAGAAACTTTGTCCGAATAGTTTATACATTCGGAAAAGTTTCTCCCATTTTAAGAAGGAATTGGAGGGTAAAGATATCCAATGAATGTAAATCTCTTAACCAATCCAATTCCTTCTGAAAGTGTGCAAACTTTGGG